TAACTTTCACATAAACCAATTAAATTTACACGTATTGCGATTTTTTTTTTTTTTTTTTAGCAGAATACATTTTGGCCTAAATTTATGACAATTTGATTTTGAAATTTTTTTTTTTTAATTGGACACATTTAATAGCAAAAAGTCAAAAATAGGTTTCGTTTTCTCAAAATTGGCATTATTTTTTCTAGCGCAAAAAATTATAAAAAAAAAAAAAAAAGCAAAAAAAAACGCAGAGGCGATCAAATACCACTGAAGGAAAGCTCTATTTGTGGGGCAGGAAATGGACTTAAATTTCATTTGGCTGCAGTGTTGCATGACTGCGCAATTGTCAGTTAAAATAATGTAGCGCCATATGACAAAAAACCAGAGTTAGACTTACCGGTAACTCCTTTTCTACGAGTCTTCCAGGACAGCCATCTGAGACCTTGGGCTCCTCCCTCCGGATCAGGAAACACACCATCCCCCATGCCTTTAAAAGGCGGGCCTCACATCCAGTTATTAAAAGAGAACTAGCGGAAGCCACTGAAAGACACAAATATAGGTAAATACAATTTTCATGCAGTCAACCTTAACTCTCTCGGTTGTACATTAGAAGGGTGGGAATTACCGGCTGTCCTGGAAGACTCGTAGAAAAGGAGTTACCGGTAAGTCTAACTCTGGTTTTCTCCCTACGTCTTCCAGGACAGCCATCTGAGACGATAAACGAGAACTTACCCCCTTAGGGTGGGTCCACCGCCTGAAGGACCTTGCGTCCGAACGCCTGTTCCTTATCTGACCGGATATCCAAGCGATAATGCTTCACGAAGGTGGAAAACCTCGACCAAGTGGCTGCCTTACAGATTTCCTCCGGCGAAGCCCCGGCCCTCTCCGCCCAGGACGCTGCCAAGGATCTAGTTGAGTGGGCCTTAACAAAAGGAGGCGGAATCCCCAAGACCTTGTAAGATTCCCCGATAGCCAGCCTAATCCACCTGCCTATCGTGGCTTTAGATGCTGCTAACCCCTTTCTCTGCCCTGAAAACAACACAAAAAGGGAATCCGATTTCCTAAATTCCCTGGACCTGTCTAAATAAATTATAAGACTCCTCTTTACATCCAGCAAACCTAGGCTTTCTTCCTCTTTACCTTCAGAGGAAGAACAAAAGGTCGGCAGAACAATATCCTGCGACCTGTGAAAAGAGGAGGATACTTTATGAAGGAATCCCGGATCAGTCCTAAGCACCACCCTGTCCTTAAGAATGGTCAAGTAAGGCTCCCTAATTGAGAGCGCCTGTAGCTCACTCACCCTACGGGCCGATGTGATTGCTACCAAAAAAAAAAAACTATCTTTAAGGTCAAAAACTTGAAAGCCGACTCCTCTAAAGGCTCAAAAGGTTCTCGAACCAAAGCCCTTAGGACCAGAGACAGATCCCAACTCGGACAACCTCCCACCTTAGCAGGCCTAGCCCTGGAGAGAGATCTAAAAAAAATCAACTACAAAGGGATTTTGTTGCAAAGAGCACTGCAAAAAAAATACTCAAAAGCAGAAGCCTGTACTTTCAAGGTGCTGATCGAGAGTCCTCTATCTGCCCCCTCCTGAAAAAAGTCCAAAACCATCGGAATGTCCAGGGGCCCCCTGGTCGGTCCCTGAGAAGGTCCTGCTTCCATCGTCCCCCTGGCGTGGAGACAGCGCCGCCGCTCCGCACGCCCACCGGCTTTTTAATTCCCCTGGTGGTGCCTGCGCCTCTGGAGATCGGAGCCGCGTCTCCGGCGCCCGGCGCCGACGTCACTGGCGGACTTCCGGCCTGTGGAGCGCATCCGCCCTGCTACTTCCGGTTGCTGGAACGCAAGGCCGCGCCCAACCGGAAGTCCCGCCTCTCCCCTGCACATTCAACTGAATGCCGGGTCAGAGGAGAGGCCACGATCAGGGCAAGCCCCAGTGACATGCGGCAGCGCCGGTTACCCACCTGGGCCTGAAGGACACCACCAGATGCCAGCCCCACCACGTGGAAGGCACCGGGGATGGAGGTACAGACCGCACCACACCCTTCCAGGCCAGCCTTCCTGAGGGTGCGAGGATCACCCTGGCTCCTACGGCGTGCATCCTTCCGGCTCAGGAAACACAAAAAACTGGATGTGAGGCCCGCCTTTTAAAGGCATGGGGGATGGTGTGTTTCCTGATCCGGAGGGAGGAGCCCAAGGTCTCAGATGGCTGTCCTGGAAGACGTAGGGAGAAAAATGGCCTTTTTTTGGGAGGGAGGTAAATCCTCTGGACAGCAAGTGGTTAAAGTGCCTACTACATCAACATGCATTTTTTATGTGTTTTGTATGCTTCAGTATTGCTTCTGTGAAGCTTTAAAGAAGCTTTGTAAATGCCCTGTGTGTGTTTATTTTCTATTTGTTTTAAAGGGGCTCAGAAGAACCCCGGCTCAGTACTACCCCCAGCTCGACAGATCCCCAGCTCATTATAACCCAAATTTAGAAGATAACCAGCTCATTAGTACCCCCGCTCAGCAGATACACAGCTCATTAATACCCACATTCAGCAGATTGCTCACTCAGTAGCACCCCCAGCTCTGCTGATTCCCCGCTCAGTGGTAACCCCCAGTTCTGCTGATCCCCCGCTCTACTGATCCACCACTTTCTCTGGTCCCTGCTCACCTCTTGCTATATTGCGCACCACGTGTGACATATCCTAGTTCCTCCTGCTCCAGTCTGCCAACTCTGCTGATCTTCTGGTCCTTGCTCACCTTCTGCTATAGCATTCTCATGTTACCATGTGTGCTGTCTGCCAGTTGTTCTGTTCTGGTCCAGACCCTGCTCACCTTCCTGCTGCACAGCAGATGTGACGTCTGTATAAATATATATCAAATGCATTTATTTACATCTCTCTGCGCAGCCAGTGATTAAATGCGGTGATTTCTGTTGGATGCAGACAAAGTGCAGTGACCACCGCAGGAGGAACTGCCACTACAATTCGTACCAACCCTAATCACTGGTACGCAAGTAGCCTATGTATGTAGTATAGGGGGTGGGAGAAGGGTATGGGTGCAATTGTCCACTCCCCTCGATCAGGCTATGCAACATTTACTTAACTGGCACCCTTGCTACCAATGTTATTGCAAACATGGCAGCCCCCAGGCATTCCTCCAAACATGCATTTGCTGGGCTTGTCAATGTAGGCTGCTGCAGCCTGTATGTCTGCATGGCATCCCCGATGTTCTTACAGCCATGCATGGGCTGGGCTTGCCTATGTCAGTTGACATGACTGCTGTGCTTGCACGGCATCCCTGGCGCCCCTCAAGATAGGCCGGGGGCCGCATGCAAAACTCTGAGGACAACCACTGTGCTTTCCAACTTCTTATGCACAGGACATCAAAATGTTTCTCATACATGTTGGAGAGCTAGATATACACAAGAGAAAAATATTTGAAGGTGAATAGAGCTAAAATTTTAGTATAAACAGAGATCACATCTAATGATAGTACCTATATATCTAGTCAATAATTAACTGAATGCCATAATTATTCCCCATGAAATACTGTGTATCACTATGGAGTATCTATACACAGTACATATCTATGTACAGTCACATTTTCCCAAGCAGTATCTTCTTGCTGGTATGTATGCATTGTTATGTACAGTAGCTCCCTGTCACATACCCTCAGAGATACGTCCATACATATATACAAAAATGAACAAACTGCTAATCTTGCGCGTGCGCGCACACACACACACACACACACACACACACTTGAATGCAAACACATGCACACTCCCTCATACACAAACCAGTACTTTCATACAGTAAATGAGTGAAGTTTTGAGAAGAGTAGTGCACCATTTTTTTAATGCTATGCCATAATATTAAATAACTGCAATACTTTCCCCCACATTCACATAAATTACAATGCTGAAGGTATAGAATTAAAGTGTATGTAGACCTTTTTCAATGAACATCTTATTTTCTCCCTTTTAAATATAAAACTGGGAGGTGCAAAAACACTTTGGGAGTTATTTATTAAAACTGCATGGTGCAAAATCTGGTGCAGCTCTGCATAGAAACCAATCAGCTTCCAGACTTTATTTTCACACCCTAACTGAACAAGCTCAAGTTAGAAGCTAATTGGCTACCATGCCCAGCTGCACCAGATTCTGAGTGTTCCAGTTGTAGTAAATCTCCCCCTTTGATTCTGTCAGAAATGAATTACGCTCATAACTTCCTGCAGACTCCCTGTCTAGTTCACCTCTAAACTACTAACTAGTGCTGCCCACATTCTGGTGTTGTAAACAGGTAGGGGGGAGTCTGTAGTTCCAACACACCTCCTGTCCTAGCGTGACAAAGCTGCTACTACAAAAATGCAGGGAGTGAATGTAGGACAGGACTCTAGGACAGGAAGTGCGAAAAACTAAAAAGCAACCACCAAATTTAAAGTGGATTGTGACTGTTTTTTTTAAAAGTCAGTGGCTGCAGTTTTTGGTTTGACTGGAGCTCCACTTTAAGGACTGGTAGGCTGCCATAAAATTTTTCATGAGTTTAGATATGCTTTACCTGCAGTAGAGAGAAGCCAAGTCACCAATGGCAAAGGTTTATATCAGAGCTATGTAAATCTTTGGACTGGAAGGAAAAACATACAATTCCCCAGTAAATAAAACAGCTCTCATATACTGTATTTATTTCAATGGTGTATTTATCTGTTTGGCTCCCAGGGGCAACACACAATGGTCTCTTCCAGGTTTATAAATCACTATTGCTCAGTCTACACATATGCATTACCATACAAAGTACATGAACAAACAAAGCATTTTACTGCACTAACAAGGTTTTGCTGCTATAGCCGGATTTATTTATACCTTATTTACTAATCTTTAGACATCAATTTGAAAGCAATATGGCAACCAAACATTACATACATCCCTCTAGTGTTGATTCCAATCATAAGGGCTACTTTCTAAGCAAATACCTTATTTATTAATCTTTAGCCATCAATTCAAATGCAAAATAGCAACTAAACATTACATACGTGAGATACGTTCCTCTAGTGTTGATTCCCATCATAAGGTCCACTTTCTTCATCGGGGTGTCTACAGTACTAGTCAAACTGATTGCACTGGCATTGTTTACCAAGATGTCTATACCTGTTTACATAAATAAAAGAAAATGTAAGCATCCTCAGGCAAAACTAAGGCCCTGTGCATTTTACAGCTCAAAGCTCCAAATGACAACATAAAAAATGCCATGGTTTTCAAATGTGCCTGTTTACACCAGCGTAGTGTTACTTGAAGCTTATAGGTTGAAAAAGCTTCAAGCATTTTTGCACCCCGAAGACTTCCATAGAAAGGTCTGAAAAAACACACAGAAAATGTGCATACATGCATTTTTTTTCTCCCTAGTAACTAGGTTTCCATTGGCTAAAAATAATTAAAACATGAAAATGCTCAAGCAAAAACACCTGTAAATGTCAGTATTAAAAAAAAAAAGCAAGTTACACGTACCAGTAACGCCTTTTCCAGGAGACTTTCAGGACAGCACCCTTGAAAGACATCGGCTCCTCCCCACCTGAGGAAACACCACCTGCACCCAGATTAAAATGCGGCCTCCCCACAAGGACCTCAGTTCATGCCTGATCACCTCTGGTCACTTGGGGAGACACAAAACACCACAAGAACCGCAACTATATAAACAACAAAACCGATAAAAGGGTGGGTAACTGGAGGTGTCCTGAAAGACTCCTGGAAAAGGAGTTGCCGGTAAGTGCAACTTTGCTTTTCCCCCTACCGTCTTTCAGGACAGCACCCTTGAGAGGATAAGCAAGCACTTACCCCTAGGGCAAGACCACCACTTGCAAGACCTTGCTTCCGAAGACCTGCTCTTTTACCGAGACCAGGTCAATGTGTTGTATTTGGACCAGGTACCTGCTTTGCATAACTGCCCCGGAGCTGCACCAGTCAGTTCAGTGTACATGGCCGCCATGGCCCAGTTAGAGTGAGCCACAAAGCCTTATGGGACTTCTAGCCCTTCGGCCAGATATGCCTGTCTAATTGCCAGTCTCAGTCACCTAGCCAAGGTGCATCTAGAGGCCTTACAACCCTGTTTTGCCCCTGAAAATAATACATAAATGGAAACTGACTTCCTGACATCTTTAGTCCTATCTAAATAATGAAGAATACATCTCTTAACATCCAACAAGTGAAATTTCATTTTTTGGTCACACACAGGATGAGAAAAAAACAACGGTAAAAGTTATTTCTTGGCCCCAATGAAAACTTGAGGCTAACTTGGGTAAAAAGGTTGAGTTCTACCCTATCTGAAAAAATCTGGAGGAAGGGGTGCCTGACTGATAGGGCTTCCAACTCACTTACTCTTCTAGCTGTGGTAATAGCTACCAAAAATACTGTCTTGAAGGTCACAATTCTCAGGGAATCCAAACCTGAAGACTCAAAACAGGGAACCTGTCAACACGTTGACGTGGTCAGATCCCATTTCGGAAATGGCCGCCCTCTCACTATCTTTTGTCTGGTCAAGAACTTAAAAAAACCTCATCACAGGCTCGTCCCTGGCCAAGGGCGACTCCAGAAACACGCTAAGAGTTGAGACCTGGCATTTTAGAGTACTCACTGTTAGCCCTTTGTCGACCCCAGCCTGCAGGAATTCCAAGACTATGATACTAGACTATGCACTTCAAAGAAAGTTTGGACACACCATCTGTTAAGTTTCCAAACCTTTTTGAGACTGTCGGAGCTGCTCAGGACAGAAAAATCATTCCTCCCCTGCCTCTCCCATTCTGCCTCCAGGGCCTCTTCTGCTCCTCTGGCCTTTTGGCTTGTACCTGCTTTTGGGGGCAAAATATCTTCCTCCTTTGCGCCTGGGGTTTTTTCTTAAGCAGAAAGGCCTTTTTCGTGTCAGCGGTGCGGTCCAACACCATTTCAAGACCGGGCCCAAAAAGAAGATCCCCTGTGAACAGCATGCCACAGAGTTTAACTTTGGAGGTAACGTCCCCTTGCCAGGTCTTAAGCCACAGGACTTTGCGGGCTGAATTAGTCAAGGCCGCCGACCTTGCAGTCATCTTCACTGACTCTGCTGAAGCGCCAGCAATATAAGACACCCTGCAATAAGGTGGAAAAAGAGACTAGGATTTATTCTTTCAGGGAACCTGCGACAATATGGGCCTGTAACTGTGTGAGCCAGTATCCCATGATCCGAGCTACCACTGTAGTGGCCATGGCAGGCTTTAAGTTGGATGGTGTGGAGTCCCAGGACTTATGAAGAAGAGAATCCACCCTCCTGTCCATGGTGTCAGACAACACCCCCATATGCTCAAAAGCTAGGTCAGTCTTTCTGGCAACTTCGGAGAACGCCGCATCAAGCTTAGGGCTCTTATTCCATACAGAGGATGAATCCTCATCAAAAGGGAAAACTGCATTTAAGGGATTTAGCAAAGAACGGTTTTCACTGGTCGCTGGGGAAACCTGAAGGACTGATGCCTTAGACTGTTGATGGGAAGGGAGGAAGCTCTGTGCCTGGGGCAGAAATAAATGCTCTACCAGGGACCTATAAAGAATCAAAGTGGCTGTCAACTACTTAACTGAGTTAACCAAGTCCTCCTGGGAAGGAGCTTCCTCCTTACTAAGGCACTCTATACAAGACCCGCATAGCACCTTAGTCCAGGAGTTTTAAGTGCCACCCTGCACAAGTCCCGTGGTGCGGCTTCTCTCTGGCTTTCACCTAGAACACACAGAAAAGGTTCCGCCCATTACATCACATCCTTCCAGGACCCCCCCCCCCCCACACACAGGGGCAGCGCCTAGCAGGGCATTGGAATCTCCTAGACTGAGACCCCCCAACCCCCTGCTCTGTCACTCCTACCACCAGAAGGACTGAGGACACCCCTGTGGAGCTAGGGGCCAAACAGGTAGGGGAAGATGCTCCTCTGGGCTGCCCGAGTCTGGCTGGTGCCTCTGCTCCGGACATGTCCTGATGTGGTGGTCCACCCCAAGGTCTGCGTAGCCTGCCTTTGCAGGTTGCAGCTCCCTGCATCAGCCCAATCTTTAGTCTGCTATCACGGTGCCACGGCCGGAAGCCGTGCACCAGGAGGAAGTCCTGCTCTCAGCCAGAAGTGATGTGTTCCCCGCCATCCAGCCCAGTGAAAGCTCCACCGCCAGCGTCTACAGGGAGCAGTGGCACTTCTCCTATGGGCCTCCCAGCACCTCTCTCCTCCCCAGGCAGAAGCCAGGCCAGAGAGCAGGAGGTAAGGCACCCCCCACCTCTGCCCCCAAAGGACTAAACTGGGCCCCCACCGAGGAGGGGGGGGGTGGAAAATCGCAGACCACACCCGGTCCCTTCCCCCTAGTCTCCGAGGCCCTGGAAGGGCTTCTAAGTCGTGTCTCTCTCCCCACCAGAGGAAAAACCATTACTGAGGACCTAGTGGGGAGGCTGCATTTTAGTCTAGGTGGAGGTGGTGTTTCCTCAGGTGCGGAGGAACCAAGGTCTCTCAAGGGTGCTGTCCTGAAAGACAGTAGGGTGTAAAAAAAAAAAAAAAAAAAATGGCCAAAAGACACTCAACTAAAGTGTGACTGCAGCTACTAGTAACAGCTTTCCAAGTGTGACTTGTACAGGACAGATACAGTAGGTCAGCAGATTTAGAGTCAAACTGAGTGTATCGGCTGTGTGCATCTCCCTGCAGTGTGCTGTGGCTGCCAACTCCATCCACTACTTGGCTAGTTTATCTCTGCACACTTCCTGTTTTTGGAGAAGAAGCGAAGGTAAACTCTCCAAATGGCAAAGAGAATCCTGTGATGGACCAGACTATCCATCATATCATGTTACAGGAATGTAATCAGTGGCAGAACTTTACACAGTGGAAGAGAGAGCGGGCAGGGGGGTTGGTGACTGTCTACGTTGGATCAGCTTGAAGCCTCCTACACACGATGAGAATATCAGATGAATGATCATCCGTTTTATTGCATGCTAGTCTTATATCGAAAATTAAAAGGTTACAAAAATTTGACAGAAAACAATTTCAGAAGTGATGCAATGTGTTGTATTCTTTCGTTTTGTTCTTTTTGTAACAGTTGCAAGTCTTTCAGTTTTTTAGCATGCGCGGTCTTGGTCACTTAATTTTTGTCAGATGAATACTGTACTGAATAAACAAAAATAATTTGTTCTGGTAGTGTACAAGAAAAATTCACGCTTGTCCATTCAGATAATTTTGCATGAACTGCCTTGATCAACTCCGAAAGCTGTGTACCAACGATCAGATTATCGGACGATTGCTCTGAAAGCGGTATTTTTCGTCCAATTTTCTCATTGTGTTATAATTGGCTTTAGAGTAGCCCTGAGACCCAAAGCTGTTAACCCCCCACAGTACCAAACGTTCAGCAGCAGGAAGAGGACAGGGCAGCCCTGCAGTGAGCATTTCTACAGAATCCAGCAGCGTGCACATCATGTGGCATACTTAATTACAGATAAGTAATGTAACTAAGGATGCAGAGGGAAAAAAATGATTTTTCTCATTCTTAGAACCAGCGGGGGACAGTTGCAGCATGGATGCTGCATCCACCTTGGCGAGTATAACTGTCTGTTTTGGGGTTTTTTTTTAAACCCCATATTTCTCTTTTAATTGTCAGCTGCAAGACTATAAAATAATACGCCTTTATTTGAAAACACTGTCTTTGCAACACTGTCACTTTAAATAGTGTCTACAACATTCTCTCACAACTAGAGTGCCACCTGAGGTTGTCAGAAGTGCCAGGGCATCCTTGTTGACAAAGACTGCCAAATCAGACAGAGCTCCTGCTCCTCTGCAAAACTGTACAATGGCACAGCAGGAGTTGGTTAGCACAGTGAAGTGAAAGCAGTGGAAGAAAGAGGCAGCTTTCTGAGCTCTAAATCTCCCCCTACAGGGCAGTACCCGACAGTACAGCACGGAATTGAGTGCAGGTAGTACGGCAGGTTTTAGGGTTGTGTATTTGCGCTTCTGTGCTTAACCAGTTCCCGCCGGCCAGTAGCAAAATGATGGCCGAGCGAGGCTCTCATTCATCCGGATGGGCATCATATGACGTCCTGCCGTGCTGAGATCTGTCACCGGCTGTGTCCAAGGGACAAGATGACAGATCTGTGTATCGGCCCATTGCCAGTACCATGTAACCGCTGGGACCAATCACAGCAGCTCACATGACAAAAGTAAACAATGGATGGTTTCCTTTCATGCCATCCATTGTACACAATT